CTGATGTACAACTTGATCTACATGATGACAAGCTGACATGCACCTTGATCTACATGATGGAGCAAAAAAATTCATTTAACATTATAAAATAGGGAAGTTCATATTTAACGTGACCACAGGTGCTATATGCATGTCTGAAAATCTTTATAAAAAACTAAAACTATCAATTATTGAATCAAAAAGCATGGACTAAAGAGACTTCATGACCACAGAAGTTGCGATGATCTAACTGCAGCACATGGTTCCCAACTTGTTAAGACCAGTCCTTATCATGATGAATAAATATTGAAAAACAAAAACATACAGTGATTATTACACAATATCCTAAAACTGATTACACACCCACACGCAGCAAAACTGAGATGCTTGATAAACAAGATTATATATATAAAACCAGTGTTTGAATTGGGAAAAATAAGTAGAGGTGTAGCACGCCTCAGCAGGTGAGCTAAAAAAATCCTGGGTGTCACTTTACATAAATAAAAATGGTGGTATGGATAGCTTTGATTTTAAGAAGTGGGGGGTGTGCTGTACCTCACGTATAACCCCTCACTTCGATCACTGTATAGAGATAAAACAATCAAGTAACTCACACTCCTAACTCATCAGTTATACATGTTGAATATATAATCCATGTTGTAAGATAAAAGAAACATGATAACTGTCTATAAATAAGCTTTTTTGTATTAAAGAAATTAAATTATTACTGAAAATTAGTTACTGATATTTCATATATATGTATACAAAATAATTAAAAAAAAAACTATAAAATACAAAGCTTAAAACTTGTAATGGATATCACTAATTAAAGTTTCAATTTCATAAGGTGCTCTAAATAATTCTTATTTTCATGGTTGATCTTTTTCCCATGTAGCTCACGAATCAACAATACTGCTTGTCCAACTTATCTTTAAAAACACTTTCCGTAATTTAAACTCAGCTATTCTGAGTTAGTTCAAGTCTGAAACTATCACATCCTTGAAGAGACTAGCTCATGGGTTGTAGTTTTGTTTTCACAGTAAAGGTTTCAGATCACTCATTCGTTTAGCAGTACAACTGTTTAAGGGTCTTCAGCTCTTCAATCAGGGCTTCATTTTGGTTTTCTAACACCGCAATTCTGTTCTCGAGGCACTTAATGTATTCTTTCTTCTTCCTTCTACACTCTTTAGCAGCCTCCCTACAATAGGAAAATTATCTATATCTAAGTTCAAGAGATTAATTTTCTTCCAGCAATACAAAATTAAAGCATATCTTAATTAAAATATATGTTTAAAAAAAAAGTTGTAGTGGATTGATAACAGTTGAAACCTTCATAATAGTTTCAGTAAATCTGATAACAGATTAATTTATGTTTAATTTTAGTAAGCTATAATTTTGAAAATAATTTGTATTTGTAAAGATATTTTCTGAAATATTACTGATATAACTAAATCAGATCGTAACTACCAAGATCAGTAGCAGGCGTTCCTTCCTTTGGGGCCACACAGACATTAATCTATTTCTGAATTATCAGATGTTCGTGATAATGAGTAAAATAAAGCTAATGAGTTCATAAAATAAATAAATGGGAATCTTGTATCTCTCACTATTTGTTCTTAAGAACTTTGAGTATTTTAAAAGTAAGAGGTTTAAATCACACTGTATGAAAACAATCAGTATTTACTGGCAACTAACACTAGAATTAAAGTGTAAACTGAGGATTCCACATATAAGAACTTGATAAAACTTTAAAACAATTCTCTAAATATATGGTTTGTTTTGAATTTTGCACAAAGCTACAGGAGGGCTATCTGCAGTAGGCCATTCCTAATTTAGCAGGGATAGACTAGAGGGAAAGCAGCTAGTCAACACCACCCACAGCCAGCTATTGGGCTACTTTTTTTTACCTAACAAACAGTGGGACTGACTGTCACATTATAACACTTCCACAGCTGAAAGGGCTAACATATTCTAAATATATGGTTTGTTTTGAATTTTGCACAAAGCTACACGAGGGCTATCTGCAGTAGGCCATTCCTAATTTGGCAGTGATAGACTAGAGGGAAAGCAGCTAGTCAACACCACCCACAGCCAGCTATTGGACTACTCTTTTTTTTTACCAACAAACAGTGAGACTGACCGTCACATTATAACACCTCCACAGCTGAAAGGGCTAACATATTAGCTGACCGGCATTCAAATCCATGACCCTCTCAGATTGTGAGTCAAACACCCTAATCACTAGGCCATGCCAGGCCCCCTAACTATAGAGTTTTGAATAACTTGGCTGTTGCACTACACTCAAAGCTATATTAATAGTCTGTGCTGTTACGAAGTTATCACAGTACTCCGTGATTGTCCAGGTAATAAATATGTAGTTCCTCAAATAGTAAAAAAATTGAAATTTTTAATAACACAAAAAACAAAACCTAGTTTTGTACAACACTTAAGTTTTCATCTAATGTTTTATTTCCATGTAATTTCTAATTTAAATATAATTTTTCCAGACTTAAATTACGTTCAAGGACTCAAATCCCGTGTAAAATAAAATGCTGTTTTTGAGTTCCAAAATATTCTAAGATCAACTCTGAAATGGCCAATAATGTTTAGGTTTTCAGTAGAAAGAACATACAAATAGTTTATAGAGTTTAAAGAAACAAAAGAAGGTTTATTTAAAGATTAGAAAGTATAAAAGAAATAATGTATAACCAACCAAAATCTGAATTAGAGCAAGCAGTAATAAATATATGGTAAAAATGTGCTATGACAGAATTACTAAAAATGGAAGCATCGTTGAGAAATGCAGAGTATATAATTATTATGTTCTACAAAGGTTGTACAATGAAATAAGTTGAACTTATATATACATAGAATAAGTATATATATATATATATATAAACACACACAATATTGATATCTCACTGGATACATATATATATACACACACACACACATAAGATATACACGAGATATTAATGTTTGAATATGTATACTTATTTCTTTACTTATTCTATATACATCTGTTTAATTTCTATTAATCTACACTCGTAAATCACTTGTAAAGCATTTTCAATCTTATAATAGATAAAACTACTTAAAGGCATTTATAATATTTATAATCTCGATTATCACGATTTATCGATCACATCTTTTACTTTTTGATATTCTCAAATTTAGTGTTGTCAAAGATGGATACTTCTAACGATTGTTAAGTATAGACAATGATAAATATTTTCTCACAAGTAAATAAAAGGGACGATATTTTTGACAATTGTTTGTTTGTTTCCCGATATTTGTGAGAAGCAAATCGTAGGCCAATTGTCCATAATTCTGAACTGACAGACAAGAGGAAAAATGCCTGGTCAACAGCACTAACTCTTGGGCTGCTCTTCTCTGACCAAATAGTAGGGTTTTACCATTGCTCTTATATTGCATCCAGTCAACAGCACAAACTCTTGTGCTAGTCTTCTCTGACCAAATTGTAGGATTTTACCATTACCCTTATATTGCACCCATGGCCCCAAAGAGTGGAGCATTTTTAAAATTTTTTTTTGCAGTAATGGAGATGCAAACAATAGATATGTAGATCCAAGGTCCAGCACACTAACCACTGGTTCATGCTTGGTTCATTTTTTACAATACTCAGTATATATATAGAAAAAGAAGGTAGATAAAACAAAAAAAAAACACTAGGGTGGATAATTTTTGAATAAATCTGATGATGTTAATTTTTAAACAGTGTGATGGTAAAAGGATAGACATTTTTGGAACAATTTAAAGCAAAATTTTGAATACTTAACAGGTTTAACACATTTGATGACACAAAGATTGTACACGTGTTTTAGTAAGTTTGTTAACATGCATGAGAATAACTCTGAACAAACCCGATGAAATAGAAATTGGTATTTCTGAAGGAAAAACAAACAAAACTGAACAATAATACAAAGATGAGTACGTTTTGGAACAGGATGGATAAAAAACAAAATCTAGATATTCTAATATACACAGCTCTTGTAAATGTTAATTCAGGAAATTTTCAGACTGGCCTCACTTCCTTTCTTATTACCTGTTTTTCAGGAGTCTCTTTTCCCTTTTCTGTGACATCCCTCCAAGATGTTCTTGAGGTTGGACAATTGAAGGTGTTGCCATGATGACACTTTGCTGGAGTTCAGTAGTTTGACCACTAGTTTCAGTGCTGAACTGGTATGTTTCAAACCCTTCTCCTGAAACAGGTGCTAAGATAGCACAAGAAAAACGATTAATTCACATCTACATGATATGTACTTATCCTCAAAAAACGATTAATTCACATCTACATGATATGTACTTATCCTCAAAAAATGATTAATTCATATCTACATGAAATGTACTTATCCTCAAAAAACGATTAATTCACATCTACATATGTACTTATCCTCAAAAAACGATTAATTCACATCTACATGATATGTACTTATCCTCCTCCAGTAAATTAGTGTTCATTTTTAAAATCATGAATTTGTGTTCAAAAAATCAACAACGTATTCAGCCAAACTTTGTTATGCATATAAATAACCTTTGCGACAAAATAATTATATTACTTCAGTTTTAATGAGTGACTAGAAACCAAATGAATTGGCCACCTGACTACAAATCAACACGAATATTACATATAATAATCCGTTTGTATCTTGACAGAAAAAAAAAAGTTTTTAAAACCTAGCTCTGATAACAGCAGTATTTTATTTGTCACAAACTATTCAGTTAATTTTCTTCAAGAATGAACATGTATTTGTAGATAACACCTACAAAAAAAAAAAGAACTTACCAATCTGTAGACCTAATACTGAACTAAAAAAAATCTATCCAGAACAAAGAACAAGAAGAACCAGTCTGACCTTAAGAAGTGTGAATGAAAAAGTCATGTGATAGTTAGAATAGTAATCTGTCCTCAAACAGAGAAAGAACCTTCTTATCAAAGTGTCTATCCTTCGAGAAAGAGAAAAAAAAACACTTTTGGCTTAAGCAAAAAACAAAACTTTACCCGGCAAAATATAAACTTGTTAAAATGGAAAAAGAAAAGAAGAAAGAAAAAAAAAGCCTTTATACAAAGGACGGATAACATATCCCACAAAAGAAACTAGTTAAGTAAATCATGACAGGATAAACTAGTTTACCTAGTATTAAGAACTGGTTATCCATACAGAGAACCAAAAATATATACATTTACCTTGTACAAAAAACTGCCCATCTGGCCCTAGTGTATACTGGAGAACTGTTCCCGTAGCATCAATCTCTGAGGCTGGCATGGTGATGGTTTGTACCTCCTCGAGCCCATCTTCATGTGAAGATGATGCCAGTTGAATCACCGAGCCTGGAACCACTAAAACAAGTAATAAGAAGATGACATTATTGGCATACTCAAGAATTTAAAATAAAAATTTACATTTGTTAAACTATCAACCAAGCTGAACAAATAAGAAATTTGGAATATTTAAGGTTTTGACAGAAGAAATTGAAAATGGCAATCACATTGTTTTAACTGAATCACTGCTTTTCTTTTTTCTTTGCTCTGTGATTTGAGAGCCTAAAACTATCAGCGCTTTGTGCCACTGCTCAGACCCACTAATAAATCTGAATAGCTTGCGTGTTAACGGCAATATGCAACTTAACAAAACTAACAGCCTATGTATACAAGCTAAGATACAGTAAACTGCTAGACATTTTTACAGATGTGCTTAATACTTTACTGAATAAACGAATGAATACTGAAAGAATTATCACATTTCATAAAAATCACATGTAATAAACTACAGACTACAAATAATAGATAGAGGGTACATAAAATGTACTGTAGACTCTTTTGGCTTTATCAAAACAAAAGTGAAATACTGCCATCAAAATCTCTACTACTATCATTATGTGATATTAGGTTTGAAGCAGAGTTGCCAACCTTACAATGTAGTGTTTCCTAACAAACAGGGGCCTGTTTTTTACTGATACTGTATTTCTTTATTACAGACATCATTAAAATAAAACATTTATTTCTACGTACAGGTTTATGGACAGTGTTAAAAGGTGACTTTTTTTTTACTGACTATCAGTAAATTTACAGATGGATGGCAACCAGTAAGTAAGGTGTTAATCCAAGATATCAACTAATAATGAAAAGGTTTTAATGGCAATGTTTCACCCTTGTTTGTGCCTATTGTTACTGCTGAGGCAATATTATTCAAATGTTTTAACTGTGATTCTTAGGCTTAACTTTCATTATACAAAGAGCACTCCATTTTCAAGATGAGCCACAAATAATGTTTTAGGATAAAGCTAGTTATCTTTAAACTTAATGTACAGAAAAAATCTCTTAACTATAGAAAAAAATTTCATTTATTGATAAATATAAAATTATATCCGAGTTCTATATGTAGCAGAGAAAAAATCTATGAAACAATTCTTGATTTAACTGATTAATTCCTGTAGTTAATCATGTAAAATTATATATCCGAGTTCTATATGTAGCAGAGAAAAATCTGTGAAACAATTCTTGATTTAACTGATTAATTCCTGTAGTTAATCACTTGCACAAAAAAAAACAACTTGAGTTTAACAGTGAATCACACATATCTCCCAAATCCTTTTGGATGGAGAGTAATTTTTCTGGACTAAACTATTAAGACACAACTGATTAATAAAGTGACAGTATTAAATCATGAAGAGTGCTTATTTAAGACCCCTAGTCACGAAAAACAAACCCCTCTAGGTGTTATGCCAAATTTTGAAATATTATGTCCCAGAAAGTGCTGATTGATAGAAATAAAGTACTTGACTCAACTATTCAGAATCTTTTTACAGATTTGAAATCCATGAAGTATGAAAAAAGATACAGCTGTATGTAAATTTTGCTGTTCACGAGGACTAAGTTAATCTGTTTACATATCTAAATCAATAAGTGAGGACTAAGTTCATCTGTTTGCACATCTAAATCAATAAGTGAGGACTAAGTTCATCTGTTAACATATCTAAATCAATAAGTGAGGACTAAGTTAATCTCTTTACATATATAAATCAATAAGTGAGGACTAAGCTAATCTGTTTGCATATGTAAATCAATAAGTGAGGACTAAGCTAATCTGTTTGCATATCTAAATCAATAAGTGAGGACTAAGTT